AAGATAATACATGTAAAGCATCTGGTACATACAGTGCTGGAGACGGAGGGGCTTGAATAAATCTGACATCCTCCCCTTTCTCTGCCAGGTCTTCTCAGAGCAATACAAGAGGTGGCTACTCAATTAGTCTTCATCGTGACTCCGACCCTTACCCCATTGACTACACTCTTCATTAGCTTTAAAATCTTTGGCAGTTGGCCATCACTATCAGCCTCCAAGTGTAACCCCCCCACAAATTTGGCTGCAAGACACTCCGTCACTACATTTGGAGGTTAGAGATCATGTCATATCCATTTTTATATTCTTGGAACTGAGCAAACTCAATCAGTGGTTGGATAGGGACTCTAAAAGGTAGTCTCTGTTCCTTTGCTTCTCCTAGACTTCTCTCTGGACTGGGAACGCTCACCTTCAGAGCTCCCAGATAGTCTACTAACCCTCACCTCCCCCCACCCCCAAGCCTGCCTAAAATGCCCCACTCCCAGGCCAGTAAACCTGCAACTTCTCCAATCGCAATGGGCAAAACTCTCCTGCTGGCCTCACTAATCCACGCTGAGGTTTGTTCTGTCTCTAGGTGGGAACAGACTCTGACCATGAGATTGTGCAGGCTGGGCCTGGGCTTTCCCTGGGGGAAGGAGGATGCTGAATGGTGACAGGGCAACTTTCAAGCCACACACGTGGTTTGCTCAGTCCAGACTCCTCCCGTGGCTCCTCCCCCATCTCTTTGCAGCTCCTTTCCTGCCCTTCCTCATCTCACTCACCCTGAGCCTTCTATGGCTCACACAGTTTAACTCCTCAGGTGTGACTCCCAGCCCCTCCCCATAAGAGGGGGTGCTCCTTTTCTATGATTCACTTGTGTTTTCACAGGACCTAGCATGGTACACACAGTAAGTGCCTCCCCGCCACCACCCAAAATACTTGGCAACTGGATGAGAACTGTGGCTCGGCCCCATTTGCCCTGGCATAGAGTCGAGGTTTAAATCTCCATGGAGACAGAGGGATGGATTTCAGGTCAAATTAATACTTGGGCGAGGCGGGAGTTAGGTTCTCTCTAGTGGACTGGTTTAGTTTGCGCCGTGTAGATAAAGATAGGATAACCCTGAGTTGGAGTCTGATATGAGCCTCCTTACAGAGGATGCTGCCCCTGCATGAAGCCTGGGTGTCATCAGGTGCAGGCAGTACCAGATGGCTTCCCAGGGACGTGGAAAGAACAGGCTGTGGCCCAAGTCCTTGAAACTGTTTTAGTTCTCTGGCTTGGTAGAAGCAGTCTCCCCCACTCCCCACTCCCATTACATCCCCAAAGAGAAAACTCACGTCTAGAAATGGAAGGCCAAGCAGGGAACATGCCCAGACCCAACAGAGCTGGATGGGGACACAGTATGGCATCTGAGGAGGGGGCAAGGGGGGATCCATTTGAATAAAAAAACATGTACTTTGCAACACAAGGCTGAATGATTAGCACATGGGGAAAACCATGAGCCAGCAGTTTTCAACAAAGCTGGCGGGTGGCTGGAATGTTGATCCCGAGGATCATGTTCCAGAGGGGAGACACCCCTCCCCAGGCCAGGCTGGCACTCAGTGCTGCTATTTCAGGCTGGGAGGATTAAGATCGAACCGTGATAAATGCGCACGCGCGTGTGCACACACATGCATACACACACACCCTCACGTATGCACACACATGCACGTACTAGACACTCTTTTTCCCTCTCCTCTCCACACCGTCTCCCGTGCCCTGATCCGGAGGCCCGCCTCCCGCACTGAAAAGTCGCTTGGCAGCCCCAGGTCTCTCCTTGGGAAAGGCCCGTGCTGGCCACGGCTTACCTCAGCGCGTCAGCGACGGGAGCCTGACCGGGGACATGGATGGGGACGGCTCGTGGCACATCCTACCCGCCTCTTCCTCCTCTACACACCGCAGACTTGGCACTGAGCCACACCCTTTATCTCTCGATCGCCACGCCCCCTCCGAGCTCTCGTCTCTGACTTTCTTCACCTCGCTTCCCGTCCCCAGGCTGAGTCTCTTCCCTGTGTCGCTCTTTTCCTCAAACCTCCGCCTTTCTCTATCTCCCTCCCGCGCGAGACACTTGACATCCGTCTTTCTGTCCCTTTCCCCTTCTTCTATTTCTCCTTCCTCCTCTAGCTTCTTCTTGCTTCTCTGTCTCTATCTCCATCTTTCTCATTATATTACTTCTTTTGACAGATATTTACTGGCCATCTCTCGTGCGCCAGGCCTTGTGGTAGCCGTCATCGGGCGTGGGTTATAACAACAATACTATCCTGTCTCTACTCAAATAACGTTTGTTATCTAGGAAAAGAAAATGAGGCTTATACAAGTGACTATAATATAAAGTCACATGTGACATGTACCCTATAAAGGGCCCAGCGTGCTACAGCTGCTGGTTGGCAAAAAGAAAACTCCATTCTGGATGGGGTGTCGGGGAGCCCTCCACTGGGAGAGCAGCCCTGCTACTGCCCACGGGGAAGAGGCTCAGTTTGCTCCTGCAGAGATGTGGAGGCTTCGCCCCGAGAGATGCACGTGGAAGGACGGTGACTTGGGAAGGACTTAAATGTCACAGGGAAGGTTGTGGAAACTCTGGGGGGCAATCAGAGTTTTTGAGCAGGAGAATGATATGAACAGAGAGCCAGGAAGATAAATACAGCAGCAGAAGCTTAAGAGGTATGTGTGTGTGTGTGTGAGAGCATATGTGTGTTTGCCCATGCATGTGTATACGTGTGTGCATGTGTGCACGTGTGAGTGTGCGATCGTGGGTAGGAGGGCTGAGGACAGCCAGAGCGGACCAGGAGTGGGTTAGGAAGCCCTGACAGTGGCCTGTGTATAATTACCTTATTTACTCACTGAAGCCTGAACTAAGTAGGTGGCAGCAGTCAGAGGAAATGAAAAGACAAGTTTGAGAAATACCTCGCTGAGTGTCTTTTCCTTTCTTTCCTAGTGTCTTTGTTTTTGTCCGATTGTCTGATTTCTTTCTAAGTGGATCAGAGGCTTTCTGCAGCGGCCACCTCAGGGCCAGCTCCACGGTCAGGCAGAGATCTGACGCGGGGAGTGATAGTAATCAAAGTTCTTTCCTCTTTCCTCGGAGCCGAGAAGCCCTGAATGCTGTGCTCCCAGGAGGACTGACTTCTGTAGGCAGCATCTCTGAGACCTTGCTCACCCAGAGCCCGTGTTTGCTTCTCTGCCAGCCCTGCATCTCCAGCGACTCTGCTGGTGCAGCCTCATTCGTCAGCCTCGGGACCCCAACCCTGAGACCCCAACCCCGTGGCTGCTAAGGCCTCTGACCCCGCTGTCTTTTCCCACTATTCCGGTACACCCCCGACACCAGAGCTCGGGGTAGAGTTGGAGGGCCCAGGAGGGGAAATGCAGAGCCTCTCCAAGGACCTGATTATTTCCAAAGACTGGTGCTAATTTTCTGATATGATCCTCACATCTCTGTGAGACACTAAACCCTCATTACTTTTCCTGACCGATGCATTCTAATTAGATCAACACTTAAAAAAAATTCACAATAGCCACAGGATGGCTTTCCATCTCATTAACTCCTCACTTATTATTTTCATGAAAATTACTGATAAAAATGTGCATCTCCATTTGGTGAGGCCTCACAGCCTCCTCGGCGCCTATCTTGCATCTCTCCCGTCACCGGGGCTGCGCAGCGTCGCCATGGTAACCCACAATAATAGAAACTAATAAATTACAAACGAGATGCTCGTTGAGCAATTATTGTCCTCTTTTATGCAAGTTTCTTGCTAATTTTGATCATAAGGGAAAGTACAATAAGACTCTGAAGGAATGAGTCTATTTCAAGAGAATATTAGCAAGCAGAAGCCTGGGCGGCTGTTTTCAGATCTGTAATAAAGTGATTTGGTGATTTCAAGCAATGGGAAGAGGAAATAAACTTCTTGTCTCATGTCCCATGCAGTATTCACTATCAAGTACCACCAAGATCTCACCAGGGTGGGTTCGATTGATACTTGTTGTCAAAACGTGCAAGGCATGGCTGGCCTTCTGGAGGTCACCACGTCCCTTCCCCTGCCTCTACCAACTTAGAGAGATGGATTGTACGTGTCGATACTTAAAACTTAGAGATACAAATGGCACCCCCTTTCTTAGGCACTCTTTCCAGCATCTCTTGCCGATCATCCTTACAAAGTTCACCCATATCTCCAAGCCTGATTGTCCCATGAGAAGAGGCTACTCTAAACCTCCTCGTGACATTCCATGTGTCTGTCCTGGACTCTGGAACTCAGTGGGAAAGGAAGAAAGTGGGGACTCTATGGAGTACATAGACACCAGTGAGTTGGAGGGAAAGGTATCGCCAGACAGCTTTCTTAGCTTGTAGGTTCTGGGAAAATAATCTTCCCTAGAGAGAAGAGCCCATTCTCAGCCAGAGCACATAGCCACTGTTTCCACATTCCCCAGTTTCCAGGATGAAGGTGGCAGGTGACTTGTGAGAGGGTGACTTCAGGTGACATTTGTAGTGGGAGGTGGATGTGCCAAGGTACGGTGAACAACTAGACAACGATCAGGGAGAAGCAGCCCCTTGGGGGACTGTCTTCATCTATTAGGTGGGCAGGATTCAGGAAAGGACCACTTTTCCCAAGCCTTCTCAGGAACCCAGGGAACTCAGCAAGCCTTCCTGAGAAGTCGATGGGGCTGGGATGTCTGGGTCCATTACCAGCTCCATCCCTGCCTCATCTCTTTAACTCTCGTGCTCATTTCTTAGGATATCTTGAGCCAGGAAGCCAGGAATCACTTTGGACATTGTCCCCCTCAGATCCGGTCATCTTCTAGGGAATACTAATGCCCTGTCACGGTGGGCTCTGGTCGAAAAGGGGCTGTGGTGCCTGACGAATAGGAGGAGTGGATCAGAGGAGGGCCCGTACGGCAAAAGGATCCAGTGAGTCTAATCCACTTTCCTAGGTCACGGGGGAATCTTCAGACATTCCTATATCTGGCTTAGGACATTGGACCCAGCCTTGTGTGTTACCTGTGAGTGAAGGTTTATGGAGGGCTGGTTGGGGGAGTAGGGCCCTCCAAGATCATTCCTGAGCAGGTTATCACTGTGCATCTTTGTTTTGAGGCAGGTGATGTAACGGTTACAAAAGTCCTTGCAGAGTTCATTGACTTTCTCCAACTCCAGCAGGTGGATTCTCAGGACCTGGATTGCCTTCACCATCTGCGGAGAGGGAGGAGAGGTGAGCTCATGTTTTCATATCGCGTTTCCCTTGCTGCCTTGACTCCCCCAGCCCCCACCAAGCCCCAAGCAAACCAGGGGAGAGGAGCCCATCCCCTGTCCCAGGTATATGCTTTCTCATCCACATAATTTAAATTCTCGTTATTTATCTGCTGAGGGTTCACTCGCCTTGAGCCCACTGTTATCACAGCTGTTCTCAAGGCAGTTGTGGTATTCTGAGAACAGCACTGGCCTTAGAGCTAGGAAGAAGAGTCTCAAGATCCTGCCATTTATGACCTGCGTGGCCTCGGGCAATTGCTTAAGCTCTCTGCACCTTATTGTCTGACAAATGGAGATGATGATGCCCTCCCTAACGACCCTATGGGTTTATTGACAGGATCATATGAAACTGCAAAGTGTAAAGCACTAAATAAGCACGAGGAAGATTGAGATTAGAGTTCCTTGCGCGTGCCTCGAGAGGTCAGGGACTGTCTATTCTTAAAAACCTATGCTGAGTGCATCCCATGATAGAGGTCACCTTGTAGATGCTCCACTGATCTTTGCTAACTGACCGAATCACCCAGCACGAATTTGCTGGGTGCTCAAACACCTAACTGTGGTGGCCTTTACTGTGACTTTTGGGATGTTGTACGAGTGCCTACTACCTCTTCAAGTGGACATTCCTAACCTTTTCAGAGCAAGAAGTTATTTCTCAGTTGAAGTTTTTCTCTTTATCGTTGTTATCATTATAAAGAGAAAGTGCTGTGGGAGGTATGGAAAATAGAGGATGAAAAAAAATACTACCCTTGATCTAATCACCCTAAAAGAATGAGTGTGTTTTGCCTTTTCCACATGCATATGTTTTAACACAGTTTCTATCACCTCGTATGGACAAATTTGTTTCCTGTTTTTGCCCTTACCAGATGTATTTTTCTAATTGGCAAAATGTTTTTCTTTATTCTCCCTTCTAGATTGTGAGCTTCTAGAAGGTGGGGATGGTGTCTAACTTGCTCACCATGTTATCCCCAGCACCAACGCATACAAATACTGAGTAAATATTTACAGAATGGCTGAAAGTTATTGAGTAAATATATTTTTAATTGTTGCAAATCATTCCACGTGTGTGCCATACTTAACCAATTCCCTATTATGTGCCCCAGGTAACCAATCCCCTATTTAGATTACTTCTAATATTTCGATTTTGTAAAAATTGTTACAGTGACTATTTTCCAAACTTATAGCTTCTATCCATGTTCTGCATTATTTCTTTAGGATAAATTCCCAGAAGTGACAGAAAAAAAGCTATGGACATTCTTTAGGCTCACGATAAATACTGCCAAATTTCTTTTCAAAAAAGCGTTGTTCAAATAATGTTGGAGCTATTGGACGTCCACAAGCAAAAAAGAGAACGTTGATGTAAATCTCACATCTTGTACAAAAATTAATTCAAGTGAATAAAAGACCTAAAAGTAAGTTATTAAACTATAAAACTTTTAGAAAAAAACACAGAAGAAAATCATCAGACCGAGGACTAGGCAATGAGATCTTAAACTTGACACCAAAAGCATGACCCAGAAAAGAAAAACTTGATGAATTGGACCTCATCAAAATTAAAATATTTGTTCTTCAAAAAGACCCTGTGAAGAAGATGAAAGGACAAACAGACTGGGAGAAAATATTTACACACCACATATCTGACAAAGGACATATCTGGAATATATAAAGAGCTTGCAAAACTAAACAGTAAAATACCAGACAATCCAATTAGAACATGGGCAAAAGACAACATCAGACATTTCACTGAAGAGGATATACAGATGGCAAATAAGCACATGAAAAGATGTTCAATGCCATTAACCATCAGGGAAATGCAAATTAAAAACACAATGAGGTATCACTACACACCTATCAGAGTGGTTAAAATAGGAAAATAGTGATAACACCAAACGCTGGTGAGGAACTGGACGCTGGATCACTCACACATTGCCGGTGGGTATGTAAAATGGTACAGCCCCCCAGGAAAACAGTATAACAATTTCTAACAAAACTAAGTATATGCTTACCATACAACCAAGAAATTGCACTCTTGAGCATTTATCCCAGGGAAATAAAAATGTATATTTACATAAAAACCTGTATATGAATGTTCAAAGCAGCCTTAATTCTAATAGCCCAAAACTGGAAACAACCATAATATAATTCAGCAGGTGAATGGATAAAGGCATGTGGTACATCCATATCATGGACTAGTACTCAGGAACAAGAAAGAACAAACCACTGAAACGTTCAACAACTTGGGTAGATTTCAAGGGAATTATGCTGAGAAAGAAAAATCATTCTCAAAAGGTTACATACGGCACGATGCCATTTATATAACATTCTTGAAATGACAAAATTACAGAGATGGAGAACAGGTTGGTGGTTGCCAGGTGGTGGTGGGGGGTGAACCATTCTGTATCTTGACTGCCATAGTGTGTACGTGAATTTACACATGTAATAAAATTGCACATAACTACACACACACACACACACACACACACGTAAAACTGGTGATACCTGGGGAAACAAAGATGAGAATCTCTCCCAGAGAATTTCGACTTCGGGTGTGAGTAGAGCAGCGTGGCTGGAAGCCAGTGCCACGGCCCTCACTGAGCTTCATGGCATTTTAAGTGGGGAGCGACTGAGGAGTTCTTGGGTTGGCATTTGGATTGTCTGACAGGCGGAGACTGTACTCAACTAATTAAGGGCTCTTGGAGTACTCAATTAGGCTGTCACTCAAAGACGGAAACCAATAATTTTGTGTCTTCATGAAGGGCTCAATCACAGGGTCTCGTCCTAAGGGAGCGCTCCCTCCATGAGGCCGAGACTAATGGAGACTGTGCTGTCCCAGGCGCCGGGGAGAATAGTGACTTTAGCATGGATTATCTGGACCGAAAAATGGAGTTAGGTACTGAATAAATATTTGCTCTTGCCTACATTTTCTACTTGACTTTGGCCACGGAGATCTTGGTTTATGTCTCTCAGAGTAATTAGCACAGTAAAGGTATTTAACAGATACTCATCGACCGATAACAACAGCAACATATTTTTTATACTACTATGTCTTAGGCCCATGGCATGTCTTGTCTTATTTCCTCCACAGCCATCTCTGCAGGTGCTTACGTTATCGTCCACACTTTACGGCTGGAGTAAATGAAGCCCAGAGATATGGTTTTACTTGCTTCAAGTCATACAACTGGTAAGCGAAAGAAATAGGGTATGAAGCCAGGTTGCCTGTGTTGCTCAGTCCTCAATATGGGCTCTCAGGATTTATGTAGGTAGAGAAAATGGCAGTTTAAGGGTACGTGGTTTAGGGAGAAAGTGGCTCAGTGACATAAATTATAGGGTTTCTAGGAAAACCAAACAACTTTGGGGACATTAAAATTTCCAGAGCACTTCTTGGTAATCTTCTCTCTTTTCGCTGCTCAAATTTCTCCTCTCTCACTCCTGGCCTAGCCCCCAGGAGCCAGAATACCTCACCAGTATAGGTGTCGGCTTCCTTGTGCGTGAAAAAGAGAGGGTTGGACTGTCAGGCGCCGTCCGTTTGCTGATTCTCTGAACATTACCAGGACTTCTGCTCTCAGTTCACTGACAGTGCTATACGGGCCCGTGAGATGATCTGGGCCACATTCTAGGTGAGTGGAAAGTCCAAGCTCTTAAGAAATGAGGCTTTCCCAGTCAGAACCTTATAGCCTCAGACCACCTGATTGAGTTCTCCTGTGAATTTATCAAATTCTCTCCTGCCTTAATAGAAAGTGCTTACTCAGCCTTCTGTATACACCAAGAACATTTAGTGCCTCCATAAACTCAACCTCCCTCGATTTCATGTGATCCGTTCAACATAAATACTGTCTCACTAGATGCCATACACTGGACAAGACATCTGACTTGACTAAATTGTCCAATGAGCTTTGTCTTCTCCAGACAAAAGAATCCTAATTCCTTAAACCTTTCTTTTCCCCGCCTTTCTTCCCTCTCTTCCTTTCTTCTTTCCTTTTGTTTCTTCCCTCCTTCTTTCTCTGAGCTTTCCTTTACTGGACTATCTTTCATTTTTAATCAACATTTTATTCACTCACTTATTTTTAAATCTTTTTGTGAAGTAATACATACACATTCACACACGCAGAAAAGTACACATATCTATTCATTTATTTTTAAAAACATAGCCAATAAGGACTTATTATTAAAAAAAAGAATCAGAAAATACAAATGAGTAAAACAAAATAAAAAGTAAAATCTACCCAGTTAGCTTTACTCAAATGAAATACACGCACACTGTGCTTGAACCGGGTCTGGTGCACTGTGGCCAAAAATGGAGCTACCTTTTAATCTAATAAAGCGCAGTCGAAGGATTACTTTTTTATGGGATAATAGACTTGGTTTAAAGATTTAAGAAGGTAGAGTAAATCATAATGGTATTCTGAGGAAATGAATATGTAGGACTTATTCAATATTAGAGAAAAAGATGGGCAACGCCGTTAATGTGGGGTGGCTGTCTGGCAGAGCAGAAAGCCTGTGGGGTTTATTGTCAGACAGCCTGGATCTGAGTCCAAGCCTACTGTTTACAGATTGGGTGATACTGGGCCAATGCCATGACTTCTCTGAGCCTCAGCTTCCTCATTTGGAAAACGGAGATATGATCATCCCTAATTCCCAAGATCTGGGAGGGGCTAAGGGAGATAATAATGTGAAAGTGCTTTATAAACCACAGGGAATCAAATGCATACACGTTTTTAACCTCTTAATAATTTCTATTTCCTGTTGTCTCTTCTATTGCTATTCCATATTCAGCTAGTGGGAAAATAATCATTCCCAGTGTTTTCTTCTATATTTATGTTTCATGAATCATCCTCTGTCCCATGTATTTGCAATTTGGGGTTTTTGCCCCTAAATCAGAATAAATCTCTGATTTAGTAAACTGTTTTCCGAAGTGATCAATGTCATATAAAAAGTTATTCCAAACC